GTATCCTGTACCCCGTAGTCTCTACCCTGTATCCTGTACCCCTTAGTCTCTACCCTGTACCCTGTTTCCCGTAGTGTCTAACCGGTACCCTGTACCTCGTGGTCTCTTCCCTGTATCCTGTTTCCCGTAGTCTCTACCCTGTATCCTGTACCTCTTAGTCTCTACCCTGTATCCTGTACCCCTTAGTCTCTACCCTGTATCCTGTACCTCTTAGTCTCTACCCTGTATCCTGTACCCCTTAGTCTCTACCCTGTAACCTGTACCTCCTAGTCTCTTCCCTGTATCCTGTACCCCCTAGTCTCTTCCCTGTAACCTGTACCTCTTAGTCTCTACCCTGTATCCTGTACCCCTTAGTCTCTACCCTGTAACCTGTACCCCTTAGTCTCTACCCTGTACCCTGTTTCCCGTAGTATCTACCCTGTAACCTGTACCTCGAAGTCTCTACCCTGTATCCTGTACCCCTTACTCTCTACCCTGTACCCTGTTTCCCGTAGTCTCTACCCTGTAACCTGTACCTCCTAGTCTCTTCCCTGTATCCTGTACCCCTTAGTCTCTTCCCTGTACCGTGTACCCCCTAGTCTCTACCCTGTACCCTGTACCCCTTAGTCTCTTCCCTGTACCGTGTATCTTGTTTTTCCTGTATTCTCTGTACTCCATATCCTTTATCAACATCATTCTTATCCTCAACAATCTATCCCGTGCTCTTTACCTTGTATTCTTATTTAACTTTTTTTTCTGACTTTGATGAAATATAAAACCAAATTTGACTTTCAAATCAAATATGATATATTCACAAATGAAGAAATTTATACCAGGGGTCACAAAAGCTTTTAAAATTCACCAAACTTGATATTTTTCCGCCATATCAGAAATTTAGGAGCCAAATATGGCGTTAAAAACTACGTTTAAACAACAGAGCTTATTGTTATGATATGGTTAAATATTTATATGATCTGTAATAAAGAAATCATCTTCAGTCTCAGTACCCTTGTTTCAGTTAGGTCTGAAACATACTAGGAAGCTTAAGGGATTTAAAAACATACATTTATTTTCACTTAAATATATACTCAATATGTGCGATATCGTAGGATTGTACTATCGTTTACAGATATTGACATACGTTAAAATCACAACTTGATGACAGGTGCGCTGTATGATAGTGATGATTTTAAAGAAGAGGCAAAGTTTTAATATCTAAAGGTCGCAGACAACGATATTTCACTGGTAGTACTCCGAATCGATTTATAACCTCTGGATGCAGTAATAATAATGATAATACAATATTTTATCAAATTGTCATATATTGAACGATAGCAAAATAAAAATACAGTTATAAAATGTACAAGTAAAAGCTATCAATATCGGCCACAATATATTAGGAGACTAATGATAATTGATACATTAAAAATTGATCCATTTGAGGCTAAAAATTGAAAATATCATGTGAACACGCTAACTGTCGTACGTACCGATTTTTGGTTGATGTGATACGCGGGCGAACACCTGGAATAGACCGGTGCACTATTACAAAAACCCTGACATTACCACATGCAATATGTAGTAAAATATTGTGAAATTAACGATTATTTTATCTTATAATTCTACGGAAGCCCTGAAGTGCCACTACTGAAAAATATTTATCTGGCGGCCGTCACTTAAATATCTGGCGGCCACCACTAAATTTTTTTTTTCACTTTCTGTTTGTTTTCGTTTCTGGCCAGGTTTTGCACCTTCATAATACCTTAGAAACGACATGATACTTGTAATGATAACATGTTAATACATTAAATGATGTTCAAAAGCCAAAATGTATTGAAACTGTTTCCAATATTCCAAATTTTCTTATTGTTTTCGTCCGGGAACTTTGCTGACAGCATTTACAAATCGGTTATGATGAGACAAATCGACTGGATAGGCTGGCATCGCTTAACCCAGGCCTCGAATTTAACATTTTTTGTCACTTGTTAAAAATAGCAAGTGCCTTAAATTTTTACTTGCTAAAATGAGTTTTTACTTGCTATTACAGTAAATCTTCAAATAATGTTTTTCTTTTTTTTTTTTTTTTTTTGTGATTGATCATGTGTATTAATTTTCTTCATCAAATGATATCAATATTAGAATGTATGTAATGTCGAAATTATACTAAGAACTGCTTTGTCCCAATATTTTCATTGAAATAAATTTATTGACAACAAGAAACAAACAACTTTCAGTCAGTAAATTTGAGTCATGTACTAATACATGTAGTAAGTTCAAATTAAATGTCAATATTTCAAGAAATATTCTACGATGATATGACAGTCCCAGTGGGCATTGATGATGAATCAATAACCAATTGACAATTTCTGAAAACAAAAAAAATCTTGTGTTTCAGCCTACAGTACATGTAGATTTAAAATCTTTACCTAATTATCTTTCCTTTTGAATTTAATTGGAATTTCATGCAATGTTAAATTTAGAACTGCTCAATAAAAACTGTTAGCATCTGACAAATATTTACTAATAACTAATTATAAATTTGGTTGCTCAGCAAAATGAAAGTTTAACCCCAAAGTTATATTTCACTTGCTACATCAAAGACTTTGGTCCACTGATTTATCTTGTAGATCATATATATATATATATATATATAAGTATTATACTGGCATTTTACTCATGCATTACACATGTATGTTTGGTTATTTTATTTTCATGTTGTTAAAAAAAACTGCTCGCAAATATGTATCGACGGCCAACAAATCTCAGATAATAAAGTAGCGACTAAGTAGCGGCCGCCAGATAAAATATTTTTCAGTAGTGGCACTTCAGGGCTTCCGTATAAATCAAAATAAATGTCATTATAAATAATTCACTCATTTAAAATCCATCCGGAGTTAACTTATGAAATACAATTACGACATGGTGAAAAAACAACAAATACGTTCGTATGCATTTCTCCCAGCTGATTTTACCATTAAGAACGGTACTGTTGTCTTTCATTGTGGTTCAGTGCTCTAATCTACTCTCATGGAGAAAGTCTTACGACGGGTACTGCTGTGCTCGCTGTTATATACCATTGCACGGTTTAGAACAGAAAGAGCGAGGTGAATGAGCTGGTTAGCTGACACAGACAACACTGAACATAAGTTGAAAATTAAAGGAAAGTCTGATATATATTCCGCTGCGTGCCACATTACATAAGGCTAGTATGCAGAATGACAATTTCTGAAAATGTCTCAACGGACCTTAGGGAGTGTATAAAGACGTAGGTAATTTTCCAGGTAAGAAACTAGCGAGTATCTATGGGGCACTATCAGAATATCATGAAAATATCCTTTCGAACACATTTTTCTGTGGTTTCTGACTGCACTTCCAAAAATGCATGCAGTCGTGCAATGGAAATCTGTTTCGCTACTATAGATTTATCCAACAAAAATATTTTTTTGCATTGTGTTGGAAGAGATTTAACTTCAAGAGAACAGTTTGGCTGGGGTGTACCCAGAGAAACGAAGGTATGACTCGGTTTCGGTGATATTGTTTAACCAAGTATGTTGTCATTGGTAAACAACTTTAGAGTGATGTGTGTTATTTTGTAAACGAGAGATTCAATGCTTGATATCAGTATCCGGTTGTGAGCTGTATTAATGGCATTATATATTAGATATAACTGATGCCTGTTTACAGCGATTGTTAATTTTCAGTATGTGGGAGATGTACCGATGCCCTAGGATAATGTACTGAATTTGTTCAACCAATCATAAACAAACTAGCTGTATAATTTCAAGTGAATAGAGTAGGTTTCTTTGCTGCAATCACACGCATCGTCTGTCAGTATTTTACTTCTGTAACAAAGCGCTGACAATTTCAGCAGAGATATGATATTGTCGGAAGGGACTTTGAATTAGGATACATTGAAACTAATCTAAATATTCTCACCTTTTTTCACTTGATCCGGAACTACGTTTCGTGTTAGTCAGCTATGAGTATATAAAGGGAGAAAGAGCAAAACACTGAAACATGAACTACATGTATTCATCGTTGTTACTGTGTTCACTTAATACTTGTCTACAGAAAACCATGATATTGGTGACGCGTGTTTAGATTTGTTGTTGAGACTGCTTACAGAGCTTTACCTGAACCAAGTAAAATATATAACAACAACAATAAGAAAACTTTCTCCAAGGTGACACTTACAATACTTACAAAGCTGAGTATAAACAGATAACGATTTTTGCATGATTTTTTCCCCAAAATTTTCTTTCAATTTAAGGAAGATGAAAACAGGAACCTTAGAATAATAAAATGTCCATGCCTGTTTCATTTCTTTGATCGTGTGCGGTGACTGATTTGACGAGGAGAACCTCCAGTTTCCTTGCGTGTTACGGGATAGATGTTCTCAAAAGCGTGTTCCCGCGAAAACATGAGAATTAATGTTAATTATTGTCTTTTCGGTGCGATCAATGCTATACGAATCAAAATCATCAATACCACACAAGCGCCGTAAAATACACACATGATCATGTCTTTTGAAGCACCTTCATATGCATTTGTCTGCTAAGGGCCTACATCATGTAAAAGGGGAAAAGTAAGATTTTTTATGTTTTATTCAACAGGAAAAAACAAAGCAATAACTTACATTCTAACATGTACATGTTATCGTAGCAAACCTTTTTCAGGTGGCATGCTTTTCAAATGGCGGTACATCCGTGTGTTCCCCGACCGACTACTTCGGTAACTGTCACCTAAATATCTTGAGGTGTTGAGGGGCTCTCAGTGGGGAGTAGGCATAAAGTTTACCTGTAAACATCTTACCTGTACAAACAAGTCTTATTACAAAATGACACAAGATAAGCTCAGGTGCATAAACTATATATTTTATCATAGCATAGTATTGTAACAAATGTATGTAGCACATTAAATATAATATATATCTATATTGATATTGCACATGTATTGGATACAACTTGAGTTAATTAAAGATATTGACAGATAGATTAAAAAAGATTTCTGTTACAATTAACCTATTCAACATATTTCAATATGACTGGAACAGTTATCCGAGATGGATGAGTTGGGATGCAGAATCTACATATGTCATCAGGTCGATGGTATCTTTCCTTCAGTGTCGATAGGCGTCGGTCAATATTCATATATTTCTTGGGACGTGGTCGCATGGTTCCTCCGGCTGCTCCCTGGATTCTGTTGATTTCATTGGCATTTTGTATATCTTTGAACATCTGGATCGCAGAATATATATTTGGATGGGCGTGCTGTGTCATCTTCTTTATTTTGCTGTGCCATCCTTTTACACTGTTGGTGGCACGGGGTCCTTCGGTATGGAAATGGTTCCAAAGCTGACGGTCTCCTTCTATCCACTGCTCTGTTACATAGTCTGTGAAGGTCTGTGTCTGCTGGGTAAGGTCTGCGTCATCTCGATTTTCTAAGGCCTGGAACCAGACGTCTTCAATGTCTTCCAATGGCACAAGTGGTAGGATTGCTGCGCGTCTCACTAAGGTCTTCACTGCGTCGTTGTCTTTGTAGAGGATCTGTAGGCCTGTTGCTTGTGCTCTTCTCCATATGCTCTGTGTATAGTGGAAGAAGTATCCCTTGGTTGTAGTATCTGGAATGACCTCTCTAATTGAGTTTTGGACTGCAGTCTCAAAGTCGGCGAGGGCACTGGTTGGAGAAAATCTTAAGTTGAGTTCAGCCATCTTGTCTTTTAGTAGCTGGAAAAATCTTCTGTAGATAGCTTTGCTCTTTCCTGGGAGAAATGCATACACGACTGGTGTCATCTTCTCGTCAATCGGGATATGGAGACTGTAGATCTGGTAGAAGAGGCTGGGACATGTGTAAAAGGTTCCGTCGCATAAGAAGGTTTCTGATGTTGCAAGGTAGTGGAGGTTTTCGGTAGTGGCGAAGGCTATAATTCTTTTGGCGTCCTGGCTGTCATTAGAAATCTGTCCCCGGTTGCTGTCTCTGTCCATTTCCCTCCAAGTACAATGTCGTTCACGGCTTTTGGTAGTTGTGTCTGTCTTCGGCGGGATCTATACAATGATGATTTAGCTGTGTTGAAAGTTGGAAGACGCTCAACGACTTCTCTGCTGGCATCATCCCAGTCTTGGCCACGGAGTTTGTTGAGTTCGCCTGTGAAGAGTGTTGGTATTGGAGCTATCTCTTCAGCACAGCGCTTGGTAATCTGGTTCATAATCTGCTTGGCAACTACTTGTACCTGGTCGGCTGGGTGGAAATGGGGCTGTCCACCAAATGCTACTGGAATGTTGTTTGATGTGGTGATGGAAGCTGGACATCTTGGTACGGTGCATCTCCAGAATACTCTGTCTGGTCCTCTACGATTAACTCTGTAAATATATCCGTCTAAGGCTAGGTTCTGACCTCCTTTTCGGTTGGTGATGAAATCCACATTGATCTGTGCGTTCGCCATTGCTGTTGAACTTTGGAATGATGAATGTTAGGTCCATGTTTCCTTATATGTGTTTTGCCAGCTTGGGACGTTTCACATTTTCACACTTTTACCTTGTACAGTACAGGTGATTAGCTTGTGTGAGTCTACATTTAAGTGATATCAACATCTTGTGTGAGCTGTGTTCATAAAAAAAAACAATAAAATTACAATTTACCAAATTTTTATGATATTTTATCATCAATAATTATAAAAATACATCATGAGATCTATTATAATATATGAAAATGATATTGATTGATTTTTATATAACCATTGCTTATGATTATATATCAACAATATATATATATATATATATATATATATAGATGCGAATTGAATTAATAAGCCCAATAAAAGTACAATTTACCAAATTGTTATGATACGTTATCATCAATAATTACAGAAACATATCATGAGATCTATTATGATATATGAAAATGATATTGATTGATTTTTATATATTTCTATATAACCATTACTTATTATTAAATACCAACAACTGCCCGAGGCCACTACGTTATATGGTTATTAATTAACACTGATATTCACCTGAGCGGACCCAACAGCTGCTACGTTATAGACATTAAATCGTTATGTGAAATTCGTTATATATTTTGATTTTACTATTAAATGAAAGGACGATTGACGGGGAATGAAAAACACTACGTTATAACTATTTATTCGTTGTAAGCGTTTTCGTTAAAAACGTGTTTTACTGTATTGTTATCGCTTTGTCTTGAGAAGTGCTCAATTGATCTTTCTCAATTTTTATATGCAGGATTCCCTTGCTGCCCGTCTGATTTTGGGACTGTTCAAAGAAACAAAATGAATGACAGGCGGTCATCTTGGAGTGTTAATACTCAATTGATCTCTCTCAAATTTCAAATTTAGAATCTCCTTTGTCCCTAGTTGTGTCCGTTGAATTTTGGTATTGATCAGAAAAGCAAAATAGCTGACAGACGGTCATCGTTTTTTTTTTTTTTTTTTCAATGAAGTTTGGTATCACTTTTTCTTGAGAAACACTGAATGGGTCTCTCTCAAATTCCATAGATAGCTTTCCCTTTGTCCCTAGTTGTGCCCATTTGATTTTGATATCTATAATGAGAGAATTTCGGTCTAGATATTCAGTACGTTTGATGGGATACTATAACAATATATGCAGAAAGTATGCAAAAATACCGACCAATTCACGACAAAATATTTAAACAAACTCATAATTATAGTGCCTTCAGAAATTTCCCACTATCAAGCACTCTTTCAATTTTCTCGATTGTTTTTAAATCTGAAGTGCTTTTTAAGGTGAATTTCTGTTCTAAGACCTTTTCTCGAGTTGAAGCCAAGACAATTATTTGCCAAAATCCAATTTTAATTACGGTATATGTCCAGACATTAATGTTTCATTGTCTTCTATTTGATACTTTCAGGTACTTGCATCTTTTCACATTCTGTCAATTTGTTTGAATAGCTCACAAACAAGTTGTCTGTTAAGATGGTTCTTAAAGTTTCATTCTCTAATTGTTGTTAGGTCCATTGATGATATTGTAATAGTCGATTTCATAACCCTAAAAATAAAATTTACTGACAAAAGTGTAACATTTACAGATGAATGTGTGTAAAACATAAAATAAAAAAATAAAGCTGCACTAATACTCTTCCTTAGCGATAGGATCGCAAATTTTATGCAGTAAGGATTACTAAACGATACCGCGCTTATTAATTAATTTCTAAAGTCATATAAACTAAGATAGAATCGCACATTTGTGCAATAGAACCGTACAACATGCGGACGTCGTGCACACATCGCAAATCGTGTAACGCTGTGCGACCCTACAACTGTATAGTACATTTTTGTCGATAATGTGGTGGTTGGTATACAATATACGGTTTTCATACTTACACACACATCTCCCCGTTCCTCTTAATAGAAATAGTATATCACTTGCAACCCTACACTGTACCTTGTGTATTGTGATTAGAGACGCAAGGTCAATACAAACTTTTCTTTGTCTGGAGCTACTTTGTTAGTGTAGCGTGTTATGGACACATAAATAAATACATTAAGTTACCTTACCTTCGTTATATCAAAAGACAGAGGTTGTTGGATGATAAATATATTTAAATGTTTAATCGGGTTCTGATGATCTTTTAATTTGTACCTGGAGGTGAATGCATTTTCTACTCCCAATAAACAGGGATCTGTATAACTGTCATCATTTTCTCCATTTTTAAACTAATCCGAAACCAGACGTTTGTTTGTTTGTTTTTTAATTCTCTTTGGATTTATGCTGAGGAGACCATGAAGGTTCATAATGTTCTTGTTAACATTTTAATACGCTTTTCTGGCCTTGAAAAGAAAAGTAAATCACACGAAACAAAAGATGTTAAAATTGAGACATGAATTGCAGTTTCACAAAGTTCCTTTTATTAAGATAATTATGTCGTTTTAACAAGTTTTAGCGCGAGATATTGTTCCATAAAACATGTCTAACAGGTTGTTTAAACAATTGCTACTTCCTCCTTAATCATACAGAAGATTTCACAAAGTCTTGAAGATCTAGTTACGGTCTTACTTTGTAGATCGCATTCCTTATTTATATATTCTTCTTTTTTCTTACAGCTTCAGCCCCAAGGATAACATACAGAGACCAAAATTATGTGACAAAGGTGAGTCTCGTGTTTTTACGTCTTCCAGTATCCATTATTCTTATGAGATACTATATATACTTGTGGAAATTAAAAAATATATCTCCTACAACTTCTGACTATAAAATATACATTAAATATTACAATGAAATAGCACATATGGGACTCTATACATATCACTATAAGAAACAAGAAAAGATAAAGAACAAGTGGATTTTTATTAATTAGCTATTCAATCAAGTTTGCCAATTGCATGGTACATTTATGTGAAGTATATATCAAAGGTGTATATTCTATTGATATCATGGTTCGCACAGGCCTTGAAAAATAAAGTATTTAATTTTCAGAGCAGTGGCTGGAGAAAAAATGGGGAAAGGGGTCTGAACTTCCACATTTATGTCCTTGAATTTTACTTTAGGGTTTGGTTTTCTTGTTGGCTGCAGGAATATAATTAAAAAAGAAATCAAAGAAATGTTTTGAATTTGAAAGTAATTTGTTGACATTAAATTATATGATCTGATTAAAAGCAACATGAAATATCTAATATTATTTAATGCTATCAAAACTATTGATTTAAAGATTAACTTTAAAGAGCAATGGACAACGGCATTATAATGAATCTAGCGGATAAACGGTCACGTAAGAAATCTAATGGATACTTTTCAGAAACCACTAGGTGTCCATTATGTTCGAACTACGTTTTGAGACTTCATAAAATTATTGATGATGTGGCACAAATCAGGCTTTTTAAACCTGTCCGTACTGATGGCCATGATCCTCAAACTACTCGCCAATTTATGACTGTTCAGTTTGTAAATAAGGCAGTTGATGCTATGAATATCAGCATTATTTTACACCAGAAGTCTGTTCAGGTTAACATTCCACCATATTTTCAGAGTAGTAACACCCCTGTAATTTCCTATAGTTACTCAAAGCCCATTGCATCCAAACTTTTCAACTTCAAACAAACGCTACAACAACTAAATGTAGATGACCTCAAAACTCCTCCGTCAGCTTGTTCTTTTTTTTTTTTTTTTTTTTCCATTTACCAATATCACTTTATTAGAAAAAAAATGTAATATACAATTTATAAAATGTAATATGAAACTGGTTATTAACAGATAAGAAATATTTACTTAGTATTAATCATTTCATGGTACAGAGAAGAGATTTTTTTTTTAATTTATAATTTTATTCAGGTTTTTTCACAAGACACAAGCACATGACAAAGATACAATATAAATATCTAGTGAGACATCTCGCAGAAAACACTCGTGATCATTCTATTGTTCAAAAATGCCAAATGTATACTCTCTGACAGAAACATACATACATACATACATACATACATACATACATACATACATACATACATACATACATACATACATACATACATGTTACATACATACATACATACATACATACATACATACATACATACATACATACACACACACACACACACACACACACACACACACACACACACACACACACACACACACACACACACACACACACACACACACATGCGTGCACAAACCCTACCACCCATACATGTACACATTCACACACACACACACATACATTACATACCGGTACATACAAAAAATAAGTTAGACTCATGTGATGTGCTTCAAAAAAAAGCCGAAAGAAAGAAGAAGTATGGACAGACAGGCAATACATAAGCAGACAGACGGACACAGACAGACAGACAGACAGACAGACAGACACAGACAGACAGACAGACACAGACAGACAGACAATAAGACAGACAGACAATAAGACAGACGGACAGACAATAAGACAGACAAACAGACAATAAGACAGACAGGCCTTCTTTGGAAGAAACAGAAAACGAATTGTGGTCATAATAAAATTTACTATATTTAAGTTTCGTTCGTGCCAGCTGCTCATGCCTATGTGACAATTGTTTAAATGATGTATACATATTTGCACTATAGTTGTAATACAGGTATAAATGAAAAATTATATAGATAGAATCTGTTTCCACTTTACCCATCCTCTATTAAAATTGGTGAGAAAAGCACCACCTTTTTTTGTTGCTATATATTTTTTCACATTATAATGGTCTTTAATAGAGTTGATGAGAGAATTTATGTTTAATGTGGTGTCAAGACACCTAGTTTTATAAATGTAATGTTTTATGATAATATTTACTTCATTATCTATTTTGTTGAATTCATTTTGATGCGGCCAAATGCCAAATATAACAGATTGTTTATTGATAGTGAAAGGAATTAAAAGAGCATCTAAAACTACTTCTAGGTTCTGAAATAAGTCTTGAACCTTAGGACATTCCCAGAAAATGTGAGATATTGTTTCAGACTCTATTTTACAGAAAGTACACATTGGGCTTACAGCTAGCTTTGCCTTGAATAGTAATGAATTAGTTGTCAGAATTTTATGTAATATCCGATACTGAAACCACTGGAGTTTCGAGTCCTTAACTATTTTAAAAGGTAGTGAAAAAATGTTTGCCCAATCCCCAATATCAAAATCAAAGTCATTTGCCCATTTTTTTCTACCTGTTGGAATTTCATCATTTTTAGACAAAAGTTGATATAGATATTTTGTTCCCTTTGTGTTACTGAAAAATGGTTCTATGTTAATGGGAATGGACGGGTGTAAAAGTTGTGTATCTGGGTCTATCGGTGTACAGCTAGTTATATAAAATTTAGCAGAGTTTACAAGGCCTTGAAAATGGAGGAAATTTGTAGTTAAACCATAAGTCCTTAAGAAATCAGGATAGGAATAGAAAGTAACTGGACTAGTATTTTCCAGTATGTCATTTATTACTCTAACACCCTTGGAATACCAGTTATTGTAAAAAATAGACTTACCACCTATAGTTATATTAGGATTATACCACAATGGGGATTTTAGTATAGAGAGTTGTCTGCCCTTTAGTGAGTCAGAATTCAATAATCTTTCCCAAGCCTTCAGGACATCACACCAAAAAGTATTTTTGCAGGATTTCTGACATTTCTGTAAGTAATCATTGCCACAATTGATAATGTAATCCATATTAATAATATTCTTAAGTATGATTTGCCATTCTCTGGATTGTGAACTAAGGAAGAATCTTTTTAACCATCCTAGTTTTAAAGCATCTATAAAAGAAATAATATTAATCATTTTTAGACCCCCCTCAAAGTAATCTTTAGTTATGACATTTCTTTTTACTTTGTCTATTTTACCATTCCATAAGAAATTGTATAGAATTTTATTCAACTTTTTAAGGAAAGCACAGCTTGGATTAGGAAGTGATATGAAGAGGTGATTAAACTGTGATATTAGTAGTGATTTAATAACATGTATTTTACCAATAGGTGTAAGTTTTCTCCTATTCCATGATTTAATTAAAGACTTAAGTTTTACCAATTTCTTGTCATAATTCAATCTAGCTATTTCATGTAAATTTACACTAAAATCCAAACCCAAGAGTGTAAATTTATCCCTGCCCCATTGTAAGCCTAGTTCTGGTAAAAAAGTGTCAGTACTGTATTTTTTACTACCTATCCATATTACCTGAGTTTTGTGTACATTAATTTTTAATCCAGAGATATCAGCAAAAATATTTAATTCGAGGATTGAATTTTGTAAAGATTTTTCTGACCCATCAAGTATTAATGAGGTGTCGTCTGCATATTGAGAGAGAAGGATAGGAAAATTGTTTACATTTACACCAGTTATGTCATTATTATTTCTTAACCTTATAGCTAATATTTCAGCACACAGGATAAAGATATACGGGGAAACAGGGTCCCCTTGACGGCAGCCGCGCTTTACCTTGAAAAAAGAAGAGAGATTTCCACCTTGAATTATAGCAGAATTGGCATTATAATGAAATGTTTTTATCCACTTTTTAATACTGTCTCCAAAACCGAAAAAAGAAAGAGTTTTATCTATAAATTTCCATGAAACAGAGTCAAAGGCTTTTTGAAAGTCAACCATAAGAAGCATCCCAGGAATATCATTAAGTTCAGTATAATTCATAATATCGTATATGATTCTAGTATTTTCCCCAATATAACGTCCTTCCAAAAACCCAGTTTGATCATTATTTAGTTTTCCTAAAACTGTTTTTAGCCTACCAGCAATAACTCCAGCTGCAATTTTATACACAATGTTTAAAAGAGATATTGGTCGCCAATTCTGAATAAAATGTCTTGGTTTACTACCTTTAGGAATGCAAGTGATAATACCCTGTTTTTGTGTAACCGAAAGTTCATTATTATGGTAACCAAAATTTAAGGATCTTACTACAAAAGTGCCAAGCTGTTTCCAAAAGCATTTAAAAAACTCTGTCGTAAAACCATCTGAGCCTGGACTTTTATTATTTTTCATATGACATAAAATTTTTCCAGCTTCCTCCAATGTTATAATACCTTCCAACTTTTCTGAATCAATAAGATCTAACTTTGGAACTTGACAATGAGATAAAAAAATATTTAAATTAACATCATCTGTATCATCGGAATCATCATACAATTTTTCATAAAAATCTTTAACACTATTCAAAATTTCAGTCTGATCAGTTATTATCTCACCGTTTGGTTTCTCTACTTTTGGGATAATTTTGGAGGTAAAATTTCTACTTTCTAATCCTAAAAAATATTTTGTAGGTTTTTCTCCTTCTTCTATCCATTTTGCCCGTGACCTAATAATATTTCCCTTAACTTTATGTTGCCTAATTACCTCAAGCTCTTTCTTCTTATTTTCTAATTCATTTAAATCAACATTATCTTTATCTTCCAAATCTTTTATAGTGCGTTTTAAATTATCTTCTCTAATATGCTGTTGTTTCTTAACATGACTTGAGTATGCTATAGTTTTTCCCCTAATTTCCATCAATAAAACTTCAAAAAATAGTTGGTCATCTATAGTAAATTGTAAATCAGTGTCAGATATTTCATGGAGATTATTTAGGTTATAAACTGGTAAACAATACTGCATTTTAACATCATTAATAAGAGAGTTTATAGTGTTGAGATATTCTATATCTTGGAACAAAGAATTATTTATTTTCCAAAGCCCCTTCCCTCTCTTGAACTTGTTAAATTCTATTAGAATCTTTGGAAAAGAATGATCTGATTTATACCCAGGAACAATTGAAGAGTTTTTAATAGAAGAGAGCATGTTCTCAGAAATAAGAAAAAAATCTAGCCTTGCCTGCTTAATAGGGTTGTTTCTTCTCCAGGTATATCTTCTACTATTCTCATGCTGTTCTCGAAAAATATCAATAAGACCATAATTTTCAACAATTTCACAAACTTTCTCCCTTGCTTTTGGATTATTAATGTTTTTATAATTACAATCATAATCAACCTCAGGATCTAGAACTAAATTAAAATCTCCACACAAAATAACAGAGCGTCAGCTTGTTCTTGTTCAAACCCTACTTATAACTATGGTCGAACTGGGCACATAGTAACTGGTGATTTAAGCATTATTAAAAATGTTAAACTACGAGAGTGTTTCATGAAGGGTCCTTAGTATCGTGAAACCCCGTCCGTTAATTGGAATGCGAATTTCAACATACTTATGGTTCTGTTGAAAAATATACCAGAGAATGGGTGAAACATGAACATGCTGCGCTGGATTCAATTCAAGTGAATTACGTCCATTCGGTCCATCATTCGTAAAAGAATTGGCAGCTTGAAATGGAAAATGAAAACAAAACGCAGGCAAGCTTTCTTAGATCTTGATGTTTAATCCACATTTCAAGATTTACACGCCAGGTATGTTTTTGTGCCTGCAGATAATGCGTCCAATAATTGCAAACATTATTACATTTTCTGTTTACAAAAAGAACTGGGTTTACTTGATAACTAAGGAAACCCCAACTATCCATTATGCAATCTTTCAAAAGACGAAATACCAGCTAATAATGCTTCGGTATTACAATTATTTAGATTGCCTATGGATGATATGGATTTGGACCTCCTCCGCTTTTACTGGATCCCTAAACTTCACAAGAATCCATCCAAACAACGTTTTATAGCTGACTCGTCTAACTGTTCAACTAAGCCTTTGTCTAAACTACTAACTACCATTCTAAGTACTATCAAATATGGGTTGCAGTCTTATTGTGATACTGTTTACTGAAGAAATCGAATAAATAGTATGGTTCGATGTTCTGGCTGGCTTTCGAAAGTTTCGAAGAATTCAAGTCAACACAGATGCTTGGACAATGTATTGACACAGATGCTAGGGAATTGTATGGCCGCCAAAGTTTACTGGCCTTTAGTATGGCTGGTGGTTATGTTTTTTTATTATAATTTGCGAACATAAAATCACTTACTTGAATTTGCCAAGATTGGCATGGCGGGTGGTGTCGTAGTCTGAAAGACACTTATTGTCGTATTCTCCTCGTACTTTTAAATAGGTTCCAATTAAAAGTTATACTTCGTTCACACATTGTCTGATTTGATTTTTAAATTTGATAGGAAAAATGAATGAGAGAGAGTGCGACTACTATGTCGTAGAGTAGATATGTAACACAAATATATTTCGAGTCACTTTATAAACTTTGTACATGATTCTTGAAGCAAACCGCATAGTCGATAATCAGGCAAATTACATCATAGATTTCTATTTTGTAGATCGTACAGAATGTTTCGGGACTAGAATACTTGACTGGAAACTGGAGACAAAGGGCCAATGTTTTCCCAACTTCAAATCTTTCAACTCGTAAGTCCTTACCAAATGTTTCAAAGCAAGAAAAATACTACAGTCTAACCTGTTATAACGGCCACCTTAGTTAGAGGGCCACCTGCCGTTTTCAGACCCTTCCAATCGTTTTTGCTCATTAATGATACCTAATTTAACGGCCACATGTCTAACGCGGCCAGCGGCCACCCTTTTCGTCCCCAAACTCGTGATCGAACCTCGTACGAAAAAAGTTTATTTATTAAAACTCATCAAATCGCTGTCATACCCGTCTGTGTTTGCGCACAGAGCAATTAGTTCGGCGTGCGTCATCAGGCAAAATTCAGCGTAACGTCCATGTCAGGTAAACAAAGATAGAACAACAATCTGTAAAAGTTTCGATGGTTTGATTTTCAATCAATGTTGCAGGAAAATAGAATATATGACCAGTGTCTTAAAATATAAACTGTCTATATCTTAAGGCACTGACCATGTATTCTGTACGTAATGAATGGTGTTTTTAACATGTACGTACAAGATGTTGATTCAATTATTTCACAACAGCTGACATTACTTTTGATTGTGTTTCAGGTGTGTTGACGATCGGCATACCGACAATAAAAAGGGAGAATAAAACATACATATTTGAAACATTAGATTCTCTTTTCAACTGTTCTACCGAGAAAGAGCGTGAAAACATTTACATTGTCATACTCCTAGCGGACTTCAATAAGGAATGGAGAGACGATATGATTATAATGCTCAAACAGAAGTATCCAGGCCCTGTTCAAACAGGTCTAATACAGGTTATTGAGGCACCAACCCAGTTTTACCCGCCATTTACAAATCTACATCACACATATGCATTTCATTCCAAGGAGAAACGGAAATGGCGCGCAAAGCAGAATTTCGACTATGCCTTTTTGTTTATGTACAGTAAACCACTGTCCAGCTACTACATGCAATTAGAGGACGATGTTTACACAATTCCTGGATATATTTCACGCATTCAAAATCATCTATTGTTTCATAGAGATTGGGTTTGTTTGGAATTTTCTGAGTTAGGATACATCGGAAAGACTTATCACTCCTCAGATTTAGAAAAACTGGCAAAAATGATATTACTGTTCTATGTAGAACAACCTGGAGATTTTACATATTTACATTTCAATACTTTGATGTTACAGTTCCACAGAATAATAGTTCAACCAACTTTGTTTCAACATGCTGGTTTACAATCTTCTCTCCGAGGAAAGATTCAGGATTTGAAAGATAACCTTTTCGCTTCCGAACCCAAACTGTTCCATGGAGATAATCCCCCTGCTAAAATGCTTACAACTATACCGAATCTTAACCCTAGAAATCCGTTATTTACGGCGTACGATATGGCAAATGGTATTTTCTGGACAAAATGCGCTCCGAGAATAAATGATACGATCACGATTGTGTTTGATACCCCCCAACCAATTGATCAAGTAATAATTGATACTGGAACAATAAACAAACCAAAGGATATTCTTTCGAATGGAAGACTGGATGCCGGCTTCAGTGTTGTTAAGAATCATACTAGTAGTAAGTGTTCACAAGATGTGTTTCTAGGAACTTTCAAAGATGGGAAGATAAATGCTACAAACGTAGCTGTTAAACTTGGCTGCAACAAGGTGCATTGTTTAAGTATAACCGTAACAAAGAACCAACCATATTGGCTAATTCTTAGAGAAATCGCAGTATTTACAAATAATCTTTCAAAAACTGGAAAAATCGTAAATCCTTAAACCTAAAGTTAAAATGATTACATGCAAACGTTTATATGACCGCATACAAAAGTTAATATGACTGCATACAAAAGTTAATATGACCGCATACAAAGGTAAATATGACCGCATACAAAAGTTAATATGACTGCATACAAAAGTTAATATGACTGCATACAAAAGTTAATATGACCGCATACAAAAGTTAATATGACTGCATACAAAAGTTAATATGACTGCATACAAAAGGAAATATGACAGCATACAAAAGTTTATATGACTGCATACAAAAGTTTATATGACCGCATACAAAAGTTAATATGACTGCATACAAAAGTTAATATGACTGCATACAAAAGTTAATATGACCGCATACAAAAGTTAATATGACTGCATACAAAAGTTTATATGACTGCATACAAAAGTTTATATGACCGCATACAAAAGTTAATATGACTGCATACAAAAGGAAATATGACAGCATACAAAAGTTTATATGACTGCATACAAAAGTTTATATGACCGCATACAAAGGTAAATATGACTGCATACAAAAGTTAATATGACTGCATACAAAGGTAAATATGACTACATACAAAAGTAAATATGACTGCATACAAAAGTTAATATGAAAGCAAACAAAAGTAAATATGACTGCATACAAAAGTTAATATGACTGCATACAAAAGTTAAGATGACCGCATACAAAAGGAAATATGACCGCATACAAAAGTTAAGATGACTGCATACAAAAGTTAATATGACTACAAACAAATGTGCAAAGTTTCAAAATGTGTTTTAATGTGTGAATGGAAAGCTGGATACGTATACTGTACCTAGGCACGTGCCGCTCCTCATGGATCTGTTCTAATATCATTTCATTACAACGGTTGTGCATAATTTTCTTTCGATATAATGAAAGGATTAAAAAGCAACTTACTCATGTTCTTGCGCATGCATTGTTAGGATAAAACGAAAAATATCATATAATAAAACTCCAACCTCTCCTTGCTGTCATGCTATAATACTTTAGGTATCCCTAGTCAATACTTTTTATCTCGGCAATGTCTCGTACTGCCAAAAAAGAAATTGTATTTTCATTACTTATGTATTACTCTCATTTTTCTTTCGTTTTGTTAACAAAAATATATGCCCCTGTAAGTTGTGTTTGTTACATTGGCGACACAAGGCAGCCGGTACAGATCCTGACCTGTCACTTATATATCCGTATACAGGTACATTTTGTTGTCCAAGGCAAACCACTCACTACTCCCCAAAGTGTGAAGCAAACTACGGTACGAATAGTCCAGTGTTATTCTATAACTGTGGAATTGAAAATTACTTTTATAATCACCGTTCAATTTTAATATTCCTGTGGTTGCGATTTTATGTGCGATCCTATTGCAAATTTTTGTGCACGATATTGTATCATACGTGGGTGCGCAAGATGTGTGCATGGTGTTTTTGGCGCGTTGTGCGTTACCACACCTGTATATTAGAAAATGTTTTCTAATCTCCATTCTACAAGATTTATTACGTATTTTAGAGAAATCTCTTAACACACATAATACTACGATTGGTCAAGAAAAAAGGAAGCTCAGATTAAATTCTATATCAGATAGTTGATTGAGATCCTATTTCATTATCAAAGTTCATGCCTTCCGTCATATGTTTTAGTGCACTTAAATAATGATCCATTTGCCTAATTCATTAATTAATTATTTCAAGAGCTTAACCAAGAACAACGGTAAAAGATAGAAATTACGAATGTTTTTTTTTTCAATGTGAAAGGTGACAGTACGTACCTAAAACTATCTATTTGAATACCACGTACAAGAACATAATACCTTATTCTGTCAAACAATTTAATTGTTTGTGAAATTTTTGTTAAAGCTATCTGTCTGAATTGTATTTTTCATCCAGTCCTTCACATCATATGTAGCAGTAGCTTGATGAATTACCTCAATACATTCGAAAAATCTAAAATTCGTACAAAGTATTTGCTATGGATTTGAAGTGAGCTACTCTCAATGTTTAGTAGTGTGGCGGTGTACTTAAAAGCCACACTGTTGTGCACCATAAAGCAGAAAATAAAACACGCTAACAGTAATATTGAAGCTCATATATATATCATTTTGTCATTATTTGTGTTCCCGATAATTATTATAGATCAATCATATATCATATATAGTTAGATTCTATTAAGATAGCTCGGCTAAATGGTTCAAATATTTTGTTTAAGGACCCATTTACAATTGAGCATTTTAAAAGACGTAGATGCCTTATTTGCGTGGGGAGTTCTGGAGGCCCTGGCTTGTACTAAAAAAAAAACAAGGATGCGTACTTCTGATATTAAATAGATAAAAAATAACTTGATATTTTCCATAAGAAATACATGGCAGTTGATGTCTCATAACCCTAACCCCTAGAAACAGTTTGTGAATCATAGAATTTCAGATAGATAGCATATGATACATTTACAAAAGCTCACGCATTAATATAGTAAGATTCCTCTGTCTTTAGCATCACACATAAGTACATCAATAATATTAAGAAATAAACAAGAGAATTTTTTTATTATAGTGTGACATTATAGATAATCTTAATACCAGTGATCCTATTGGAGATTAGTTCGCAAATTATTAAAACAGTCTGTCTCTCAGGAAGCCATTCCACCACCAGCTAATCTTGAAAACGGAAATGTTGAATGTGAGGATGATAAGTAAGCAAATATTCTTAATAATTATTTTAGTTCTATATCCAACATAAATGATGTTGGCAAATGCTTCTTTACTGGAGTCTATTATTGTTGAAAGTGATGAAATATATGATATTTTGAAAATTTTTAAAATAAAGAAAAGCATCTGGTCATGATACTATAAGTTACCACATGCTGAAGTTTACTGCAAGTTCCATATGTAAGCCATTGTCAATCCTTTTTGATAAATCACTTAATTCCAATGTATTCCCTGAAATGTGGAAAAAAATGTATTATTTTACCTTAGTTCAAAAAGGGAGATAGACATTTAGTGTCAAATTATCAACCAATTACTTTGTTGTCTTGTATGGGTAAAGTCTTGTTTTATGACTCATCACTCAACTGTTCACCAATTAATAGAAATGTACCATAATATATGTTGTTCATTGGAAGAAAAAAACATACTTGTCTAATATTCTACGAGATATCAAAAGCATTTGATCGTGTTTGGCATAAGGGTTTGTTATACAAATTAAATGTTTATGGTCTTAGAGGGGGTTTATTAAAGTGGTTAGAAAGTTACATTTCGAACATACAACAAGAGGTTCTAGTTAAAGACGCATTTTCCAACATAGGTTTTACAAATGCCATAAGGAAGTGTTTTAGGTCCTCTGTTATTTTTAACATATATATTAATGATATTGTTGACGATTTGAATATCATTTCACGCTTATTTGCTGATGATACCTCTTTGATGTATTTTACATCGTCTTGTGCTGATATTTAAAGGTATGTCAACAGAGATTTGGAAGAACTTGACAAATGATCAAGATATTGGACTACTACGTTTAATCCACAGAAAACTGATGTGTTATTAATATCCAATTCAAGGGGTGGTCGGGTGGCGCAGTGGTCACCTGCCCGACCGCTTGGTACTCCGGTTTCCTCCCACAATAAGACACCTCGCGCGCTTACATCCGGGCCAACAAGAGTGATTAGTATAAGTTGACATAACTTGTTTCGCAATTGTTGTAAAATAAATGAAGTTCATAAAATAAAAAAAATCAAATTCAAGAAATGTTTTGCCTTTACAAATTTCTTTTGATAACAAAAATTGTGTTGAAAGTCATAAACATTTAGTAGTAGTATTAAGTGCCGATGCTAAATGGTCCTTGCATATATCTGAAATTCACAAATCGTACATGAAAGAAGGTAATTTAAGAAACTTCTCTCATGTATAAAATTCATAATAAACTAAAACCTTATCTAACTTACCTGCTTCCTTCTACAGTACACGAACGAAATAGATATCAAGTGAGAAATACTGAAAATTACACCATTCCCAACTTGCGACTGTCTAGTTAATTTCAATCTTCTGTGAGACTTTGTATTGATTTATCAAACAGTGTCAGAGAACAACCATCCGTGAACAGTTTATGTTATTGATTAAGCCAAAATGACTTGTTACCTAAGTTTTTTTTTATGTTGGAAATCGTTCTCTAAATATTTGATATACGTGATTGCGTCGTTCATGTAGTAGTTTAAAGTATGATTTGTATAAAGTAAATACTGTGAGCGATCCAATATACGTAAGTGGCAATGGGTGTGAAAATGCAATTCAATACTTCTTTGATTGTATACTGTATACACAAGAAAGTCAAGTTATGATAGATGGTATCTCACGTTACTGTAATGTTTATATTGATGTTATTCTTTCTTATTCCTAGAACCTGTCTGATAAATATTATGAAAATATTTTTCTTTCAGTTCGCACATCATCCGCACACATACATACACACCACTCCCTCACACATACACGCTCACCACCACACTCTCATCCTTACAGGTTATGTAACAAAGCGAGGTAAATTTTGAAACATGTACAGGAAGATACAAAGTTAGGTCTACCGAAATTAATGATGGGAGTGGTACTTTTGATTTACCTGTCTAAAAATATTGCCAAAGCTTAGTCGGTACATAGATTATCAGTTATTCTGAAATTTGAAAATCTGAATTTTCACATACGTTGTGAGACATAATAGTGTCAACTCATATAGCACTTTTATTTGTATTGCAACAGTGTAATACAATGTAGGTATCAAGTTAATGCATCTTACTTACCTTCGAAATTAATATTTATCCTGCACCTGCCAGTGTCATTGTTGGAACACACCTGCCACATATACTTGTTTGTTGTATTCAACTTAAAACAGCAGTATCTTATCACGTAATCTTCGGTTAGGGAGAGAAGACAGAAACAAGAAGTGTTAGGGCTATAACAGACTACAAAAAGGTATCGGATTCCAACAACCATGCAACTCTG